GAATCGAAGCCGCAAATCCTACTCCGCGCACGAGACTCGCCTGCGAAATGAGATTCCTTTGAGAAAGGAAAAGAAGAAAAGAAAGAAATAGCTCCTGGTCGAACTTGCTGCCTGGGAACGCCGCAATGGTTCTAGATCTCGCGGGACTTGCTGCTTTGAAATCGACGGAATCTCGTCAGTCTGTTCTAAATTTCGATATTTTACAGTTTTCTGAAGGAAATTATATAGAAATTTTATGATTTAAAAAATGTACTTCTTCAAAATAATGTGGTTTTGAGAATAACTACTCTGAAAAAGGAAGATATAATAATACATGATACAGCTTATCTAATTTTATCTTTTACCTAACATAGTATCTTTTTATTATTTCCGAAATTTTTTGTAATTATAATTAGCGCCGAGACACTACCGTGTCTCCAGATTTTATGAACGCCATACTATCACTTTTTAGTCGAGATAAGTTCCGATGCAATTTATTATATAAGACTGAGTTGTTCCATTTTTCGATAAACTTCAGCTCATTTTCTTACTCTCTTTACTCTTATTCTTTTACTCTTTTGTATATCTGTTTGTTTATCTAGATAAATTGTCACATAGTTTATCCGAAAGTGGGCAACCAACCTTTAAAGTATTAAATAACTGAAGATAAAAGATAAAAGCAGAAATGTATAATAAAACATCATAGAGAACAGTACCTACAATACAATCCGTATGAACATCATTCAACATTACGTCGCAATGTTATATCTTTTCTTCTTACGATTCTTTTTTTTAGAACGTTATATCGTACATCCTAATCATCTCTCTCAGGTAGGAAGTCACGATAGACGGCGTTGATGATAGCCGATGATGATGAAGGCGATGATGCCGCCGGTCGCCAATGGTGATAATAGGTCGAGCGTTAGAGGCCGCAAACACGGCAGTGCTAATATCCAATCATGTCGCTTCCTCCGGCAGCGAACGTTCGGCTAATTTTCCATAATTAAACCGTCATAAAGTCACCACAGCTGGAACTTACTCGCGAAATTTGCGTCGCGATAAGGAAAAGAAGGATTCGCTAATTATTTACACTTGATGGATTCGTTGCTATTGGCAAAAATCGTCGATCGAGAATCGATTTTTAATCATGCACCGATTTAATCGAATTTTCTTAACTTCAAAATATGCTAAGATATTGCTTGCAGTAAAGGGGGTGATCTTTTTCTTCCCCTTTGTTTTATTTCGAGAAACGTTTATAAAAATCTTTTAGTAGCAAAGATTGTAAAGAAATGTTTCTGAAATAAAATATGTTCTAAGCTATCAAGACGTTTTGAAGTACCTAAAAATTTTCTGTTTGATATTTTAAAACCGTATTCTTTGATGGAGATTTTTATATCAAAAATATTATCAAATTAAAATTACAAAATTTAATAATTATTTCTAAGAATAAATAAAAAGAAAACGTATCACCAATGCTACAAAAATTTATAATACAAAAACGGTTATCAAATTATATTTATATAAGAACGTAGTTTATCTGACTTATTGGACAAACTTCCTCGTAATTTTTATATCTTTATTGCATCATTTTTATCAGAATTTATTAATTTTGCACATTTATATATAAGGAATCATCCGACTATTCTCATAACTGTTGAATCGCTTGTAGATGATCGGTATAACGTAGGCAGTGCTAAACGCGGTCGCGGGCAACGCACAGGCGGACTAAAGCTATACTACGCTGGCATGCTAAGCTATATAAATCTGAGCATCTTATGGCGGCATAAGTCTAAGGATTAACTGGCGTCCTCCACCGGGTACCAGCATCTCGCCAGCGTTACCACAGGATTGATCCCCCGCCGACTTTCTTCACACCCGTGGAATTCTTCTCCTCGTCTTATTTCCGCGATATTTCTCCCTCTGAATCGGCGCGCCGACGAATGTTAATTTTTCCGAGAGGCTATTGTTATTCGCCAGGGCGCTCTGATTAAATCCATTATCCGCCACCCGATCATCCGATTTTCATGAAAGCCTTTTTCTCACGTCCGTCATAGATTTTCACGAAACGGGATGATAAGTTGATTTTTTATATCAATGGTACAGTTCTAAATAATTAAAAAGAAAAGGATGATTATTTACTATCAATTTTGCAGTATTTAAACAAATATTATGAACAGCAAATAAAGAAATTTGTAATTTAAGAAACTTCGAGTAAAAAAAACACATGTTAACACGATATTTTACATTCTTTCAACTGTTAGAACATTTTTTGTTATAACGATCGTACACATTTCAGAGTAACGATAGAGTATCATAAAAGACTTAAATCGCGAATATATTGTCGGAGCAAAGTCGAAAATGCGTGAGTATTTCCAGAGGATCTTTAAAAGCCATTTGCAGGGTGAATCGTTGACTAACTTTCGTCTATTTCTATCTTCGAAGGAAACGGCTGCTTGGTATTCGCCTCGATCTTGAGTGGATTGCGGGTAGCTGATGGGGTGGCAGTGAATTTGAGAGAAAGAGAGAATATCGGGGATACAGGTTTCCTGGGGGCGGTTGATGAGGTATTGATGATAGGATCGCGTCAACACCAGCTGAGCCAATTACATGCCTAATTCTCCACGCTCTCTCTCTCTCTCTCTCTCTCTCTCTCTCTCTCACCCCCCCTCTCCCTCTCCCTCTCCCTCCCTCCTCCTCTTCTCTTTCCGCTGCAGAATTACATATCCCTTGTATTTATCGCTTTCACATATTTTAATATTGATCGATAAAACTGACTTGTGACATATCGATAATAGAAAATAGAGAAAATATTTACGTTGCAAGAATATATTATATATAAATACGTATGTGTAATATGCTCATAAAACCTATGAAGCGTGAAAAGTATTAAAAAATCAAATAAGAGAAAAAAATTCCTGTTTTCAGTCAAAATGGATATCTGTGTTTAAAAATATATTTGCAAATTTGCATATGAATATTATTAAACACTAAGATCCGCTTCAAAAATAGAATTCTTCTCTTATTTGATTTATCGGTCCACTTATGATTTAATATTATATTTTAATATTATATTTATAATAAAAATATTTCGAAAATTTTTTATTTCGTTATCTGTCTTTTTTAATTCTGTAAAGAAGTATTCATATAATTAGCTAAGGTTAAAATTTCTTGCAAAGTCCATTGACTTCTTTTTTCAAAAATTACGTGTGTTTTAAGGAGTGTATTTTAAGTTTGTAGTATCTCATTCTAGATATCAATTATCACGCTTAGCGCTCGTTGACTCATAAAACGAAATCGTAGTACGTTAAGTATTCTCGCACTTTCGCGGACTTCTCTACAGTCATAAAATTAAATATCTCGTAACATTAATTTTAAGTTTTAGACTGCGGCATTGTCGCGCGCGACAATATCGTTAGTTAAGTCGTCGCCGGTTTTGAAAGATGAAGGAAGATTTTATAGTAAAACCAGCGATAAAATCGGTCAAATCTTATCTCACACAGCCGCATGTGATTCGTTCGTTACTAATACTGTTGTTTTTTTTTTGTTTCAGGTAAGTGCAACCGCGGCGCTATCAGCCACTCAAAGTAGTAGAATGTCAACGCGTCTTCTCATCGACGGCTTTATCTTTACCGTCGTTTGCGTATATGTTCGTAAGTAGGTGGACGTGCGTCTTAGACGAAGAGCGATAAGAAGTGAGGCCGCGCCCTCGCACGCTGGCAATAATCGTATATGAAAGTGGGCTTGCAAGGAGAGGCTTCTCTTTTATGCCGTCCGTAAGTTCTCACCGTGTCCAACGCGGAATGCCTCGATGCTTGACCACTCGCGTCGTTCAATTTTACTCGTTGATCCGGGAGAGGAGGGAGAGGCTTCCCAAGGGAGATTTCCTTTGACTACTTTTCTTTCTTTTTTTTCGCATACATATTTATCAAATGTCTGTCAAAGCAACTGAATTTCATTTTCATGGCGACTTCAGACAATATCAGGAACTTTACGCACATTCACTAAATATTGGCCTACATTAGAGATCCTCCAATAAGAGTCTAGACACCGTAATTTTGTAGAATAGTAATTTTAACAAAAATCTGCGAGAAAGAAGGATATACACATTTACTATTTCTATTTCTTTCTCTCTCAGGAATTGTGAACCATTTTGGCAGACCAATCAAAAGTGGCTTTCATCTTCAGATTCTTATTAGAAGATCTCTAGCTTATATTTATATGGGTAATTATGTATGTGTATAATATATTTGCTAATGTTAACATATATTGGCCATGTCGTCTGGAGCATCCACGAAAAAAACGATTTTGTTGAAACATGTCGAACATCTGAAAACTTAACTAAATGCAGATCTAAAAATAATTTTGATGGAGCATCAAAATATTTATGTAGAAGACGTGATGAGTCTCAAACGTGATGAGTAATGTTACAAAAAAATTTGATATTCTAATAACCAACTTGAGTATTACATAAACTTTCCGCGCAACCAGCTTTTGTTTGATGAATGTTCCCCTTTAAAAAAAAGAAAATCTATTTTCATTTTTGAATTTTTTTATTGTACGTTTAAAACCATAAAACTTGCGTAGAAAATATTTTTTTGTTTCCAATATAACATCGAGCGTGTAACATGTAATATCAACTGGTAAACTGGGATATTGTCACGAACGACAAAAAAGATAGGTGAAAATATTGTTTCTTTTACACGCCTATTAGATGGCTTTAAAATTACACATTTATCATACATAAAAAATTTATCAGTGTGTATTTATCGAAATTAGGTAGCTCCTGTATCGCGTACTCGAATGCTACGTGTAACGCGTGAAGCATCGGGATGCGAACATACGTTATTCCTGAAGGGCGACACGCGTAGAGGGGTAGCTATTTGTTGCGACGCCTCGCCGCCTCTGAATAACAAACTGGTAGGAAATAACAAACGCGTTGCTACATTGAAATAGCCTCGACGGGTCGTATCTCACGTCTGAGGTAGAAGGGAAGGTTTTCGAGAGAGTGCGAGGGTTGAAAGGAAAGAGAGAACAGGAAGACGGCCCGACGGAAGAGAGAAACGGCGTTTTCTTTTCTCGCGAAATCGCCTCCCAAATCTCGCGTGAAAATTACCCTATTGTCGGGTGCGGCCCGACTGTTCCCTCCTCTTCCCATTCCTCCCATCGCGGCGACCTCGTATTTCATCCCTCGGTTACATAATCGGCTTTTTGTTTCACGTTTTATCCCCGAAGCGGATCCCAACCCCCGCGCGGCTACCTTTCCGCCAACTGGTCGGCGAATACGAGGGGATGATGAAAAAGTGTCCCGAGGATATCGTAAACCTTCGTGTCCCTCCCCAAGCTTATTCTCCTACCCGAGTCGCGCTCGATTTGCTCTTGAGCACCTCTTCGTGGTTCGCGCACTGTCCCCGAAGATGACCCGGTCTAAATCGACCAGCAACGAGCTCAGTTTGCTGAAGAACATCCCCTTTTATCTCTCGAGGTTAACCCTTAACTCACTCGATGTGGTCTTTGTCCTTAACTCGTTCAAGTACCATGGAATTTAGTGATTTTATGAGTATGATGAAAAATTATATATAGTTAATTATATGTACACAGTAATTCTTCGAATTATTACAGAGTTGTAATTTTTATCAAATGTTTCATCATAATTGCTTAATAACATGCTAATGTAATTAAAAATCCGTTGATGAAAATCAGAGAAAATGAACATCACTGTAAAATAAGAGCAGCAAGGGATTATTTAAATGCAAGATTTTTATTTTTTAATTTTAACGAAATTACAGAAAAGAAAGCAGCTTTCATATAATCTGCTATGGATTACGGTGAAATTTTTATATTTTGTAATAATAAATAGAAAAAATTTATCCTAAGAATTTTCCAGTACGTTTTATCAGCAATCTTGCATCGGGCGATTTTACGTACATTCTCGAAAATCGCAAATCTCCTCGTTCACGGTAACATCTTTCCTCGTAACGAGCGCCGTCACCTTAATCAGCCTCCTATCGGATATCGTGTTCCAATTAACCCGTTTTTTAACGATCCGCGCTCTCTCTCTCTCTCTCTCTCTCTCTCTCTCTCTCTCTCTCTCTCTCTCCTCTCCTCTCTTCCCCTCGTCGCATCCGTTCCCCTCTTTTTTTCATAACCAGTCCGCTGCACTCGTACCGAAATGTCGAAAAAAAGGCGAAGCACCGTTCGGTTATTCGGTACATAACGTTGAGTGGTAGTCAGGTATTATCAGGGGTTATCGACGTATAATCCGTGAAAGGGTGCGGACGGGTAGCGGGGGAGATCGGAGAATGGGGGAATGGATGGACAGAGAGGCCGATGTGGACCATATGCCGCCCAGTATGCTCAACACTCTCTCACCGGGACAGTCCAGTCCTCGACTCGAGGCCTCTCCTCTCTTGTTCGCCATTCCCCCTTTTGCCTCGTCTCCCATGCTACCCTTCCTACCTCGCCACATCCCTCGTCCTCTGACCTTCTATCATCATAATCGATATATTATACCGCGGTCTGTATTTTATTCACGTGTCACACCGTGGAATGCGTTTGTTCGGGATATTGTACGCCTCTCTTCTCCCCCGATCTCTTTTTTTTCCACCCTCTTCGTTTTTTTCGCCGGTTATTTGATCGGCGAAATCGCTTTTTTCCTTTTTTCTATGCACATTTTTCGAGATATGATTATGATACCGAGGTTGCTGGAGATCATTGCATGTGGTTGAATTAGACAATGTCTGGCGTAGGGATAATAACGAGGTTCTTTATCGACTCGCAATTTTGACACATAGTGTGTCACTCTCGTAAAGTACATCAATTTTCGGACAAATTAAATCCAAGTAATTTTGAGTAACTGAAAAATAATTTAAATATATTTTTAATCATAATTATATATAATATATATAATATTCAAAATGAAAGATAAGAAAACAAACTTATAAACATATGGTATGCAATAAAAGATAATTTAATAAAATATATATATTTAGATTCGATAAAAAAATATATATAAATATAATTTTAATTGATATATAATATATATACACGTTTTATGATTATCACAAGATGAATAAAATATTAATTATGTATAATACATTTTCCGATTAATGACATTTTCATCAATGTTGTCCAGTTGTGAAAATGTCCGTTCGTTATCTTAGTTTTTCTCATTTTCGACGAAATCACGAGTAGTCGTATGCACAAAGTTTCTTGATTATATTAGTGATGTTCAGTGATTGATGTAATAACTTCGAAATTTGTCAGCAAAGAATCAAACCAATGCATTTTTCCATGAAATACCAGTAGGCCAAATAAGAGAGAGATAGGAGAGAAGAATAAAAGAAAATAAAAGGATTTGTCAGAACGTTCACGTCTTTTATTGGGAAACTTGTTTATCCCACTTATCACGCACGATGTGTGAGGGGCAGATCAACTAATGTCGCGTTAATTTACAATTTGTGCGACTAGCGCGACGAGTTGCGCGAGGAAACGTCGATATCGGCCATCTGCCGCCGATTCACTGCGGTCATCCCGCATAATTCTCTGTGGTTGTCAAAATCGTTCACTATTATATCCCGCTTGCGGTTGTAAAAACCGCGGCGGTTAATTGTTTTTTGCCTTTCCCCGGGGGAAGGTCGAAATAGATTACGCATGCCAAGTTGCGTTTTTGCTGGAGTATTTCATCGTCGGTGTCGTAAAATCACGAAAAAGTCTCGCGATAATCGAAATCGCGTGAACTAACGAGAGCATGAAAAGCAAAACTTTCAAATAACGAAAGTATCATCTTAATTTACAAAATTATTATGCTATATTAAAATTAAAATTATTACTGCTAATTAAAATTACATTAGAAATTATTGATATTAGACCGTATTAAAGCTTTACTCTACTACAACTTCAAATTATTAACAATAATACGCAACATCGAAATTCATTGTTATTAACATTGCATTATAATATCAAAATTCCTAATAATCATGTGCAATGAAATTCCAGCTTTGCTTTCACGTTTATTACAATTGAATCTGACATTACAATTGAATCTGACATTACATTCTAACTTTTGCGTTGGCACCCCGCTATCTGACATTCTGTCTTATCACCGGGTGATCTGGCTTATCATTGCTCATTACCTCGACCACATTTGCACTTCTGTCGTCACCGCAAATCACGCAAAATCACCACCAGGGAACTGATTTACTTTCGGTTGTTACAAAGGCACGAGTGTTTCAAGAATCGACTCACTCTTAACCGGCGAGGTAATAAAATTCGAGAGATTTCGACGTAGAAGAAGTCGTCTACCTACGTATTGTGTCTTCTGCGATCAGAGCGCACTTCTTAGGCTTTGTACTGGCGGACAGCTGTCCAGAAACATTTCTCTCCACTCCTACCTCTCTTTCTCTTTTTCTTTCTCTCACTTTGTGTCTTTCTCTCGCGCTTCGTTCTGCCACCTCAAGAGTGTGTGTTCTCCAGTTTCTCCTTTTATCACTTTTATTGGGCTGCGACCGCTGTCGTCATTGAAGTCGACCGGGGTTTATGGACGCGATGCTATTCAGTAGGCAGGAAATGCCAGGACCGATCCTCCTCGCGCAGGATCGCGACTGTTGGAACTCTTTCACGCGCGCTCGCGAGTTCAATTGGAATCATAAAT